TATATTTTACATACTGTTGTGAATTTGACCATTATATCATCAAAGTATTGGGATTAATTTTTGGCATAAAATTGTTGCTGGTGCAGACAAACCATATACAGCTGTAAAAATAATCAATTATTGGCATATAGAAACGTATGTCCTATCAAAAAATAACACAAAATTATATTAGGAACGAAGCAAATGTATCGATTCAAAATATCGACAATTTAAAATTGACTGCCTTCCTGTAACTTTTACTACGCAAACGTCTTTGGATTTTAACAATTTTACTCATCATATGGTATGCAAGCCAAAGATTTGAAATTATCATTACCATTTAATAAAAATGGTGGATAATATTCAATATACAACGAATTGGTAAATATTTGACCTTAACCTCCGTCTCTTTTTTCCTTTCATTCCTTTAACAAAAAACAAATGTATTTTCTACTCTCTTCTGCCTCACCCTTCCTAATCGTTCCGTTCCTGATTCCACTCCACCCTCTCTTCCTTCTACTCTAACTCTTCATCTCCTAGATCCTCCCTTTCTATCCTCATTTCCTATTTTTTTCTCTAGCCATCATCTAACCTACCTCTCTCTTCACCATCATCAAGCCCACATTTATTCCAATCCACATTATTCAGTATCCACTCTTTCTCCAAAAATTTCTTTTTGTCCACCACTTCCTACATCTTTACAATAAATATCCCCCCCCCTTTCTTCAACATTTCTTCCTTCTCTTCTCCTTTTCCTCTACCTCCTTCTTCTCTTCTTCTACTTCTTCTTTCGTCTGCTTCCTTTTGTCTTTTTCTTTTTTTTTCTCCACTCTCTTCTCCATCATCCGTATCTCTTCTTGTGCCATTACCTCCTTTTCCGTTCCTCTCCTAGCTCTTTTCCCTTCTACTCTCTTCTCCACAACCGTACTTCTCCTCCCACCACTACATCCTCTCTCGTTCCTCTTGTAACACATATTTTTTCTCTCGTCAAACCTCCTTTATTTTCCTTTTTCACCATCCTGACATCTTCACCATCACTCTATAATCCTATTTAACCACCTATTCTTTCCTCATTTTCACCCTTACATCTACACTTGTCGACCATATTTATACCTCTCTCTTCTTTTCCTTCTTCACTACATTATACTACTAATTCCTCCTTTATCACTTTCGGTACCACCTCGTAATACGTTCTTCTTCTTCTCTTCTTTTTTTGTCTTCTTCACTATTTCTTCTTTTCTCCTTTTTCTTTCTCATCTTCTCTTCACTCCTTTTCCTTCTCTCCACTACATTTTCCTCACATTGTCCTCGCCTTCTCTTCCTACCTTCCTCTTCACTACCACCACATGTTACTTTACTCTCTTTACCTTCCTTTTCTTCTTTGTTCTTTATCTTTCTTCCAATCACACTTCCCTCTTTTCCACCTTTCTTTCTCCTAAGGCATCTCACCTTTCCTTTCCGCTTCTTCTTCTCCCACTTTCATATCACAAATATTCAGCACGTCCACCGGTCTCTTTACCATAAAGTATAGTTCTTTCAACTCCTACTTACATAAGTATTTATGACTTTTTTTTCTCTCTCTCTCTCTACCATCTCAATCCCATCTTCCATCATCTCCTCACAACTGCCAAACTACGTAACCTGCATTATATATGTTATTAATATTATCTCTATCATATAATATCATTATATATTATTTCTAAGATATACATAGTTTATACGTGTAATATATACACGTTTTTTAAATAACATCATCAATATTAATGTTATATTTTTAGAAAATTTTATTCTACTAATAGTAAAATTATTAAAACAATAATTATATTTCTAAAATTAATATAATAAGTGCAGGTAACATACAATTTTCGTAACATGTTACCGAACTAACGTTACATGTTACCGAAATTATATATTGGTTAGCATTAAATATTTGTTATTTATGCACAACTAGAATCAATTTTATTTTATAATATATGATATATAACAATATCTTGCACAGTTTTATTTTTGCTTCTATTTCAAGTATTAGGATGACATTTTTATAATTAATTTCTATGTGTATTTCATTTTATTTACATGTATTAAATTTTTGATACAATTTTAACTTATAAATTATATATATAAAAAAAAATATGAAACAAAACTGAATTAGTTGAAAAATAGATAAATTATGATAAATTATTCAAAACAATAAAAATTGTTAAAATTTATTATATTATTCCACAGGATATTATCGTGTTACTATGATAAAGAAAAATTGGGAAAGAATTACAAATTATCTAAACTCTAGTGATTACAAGAATATTCATGTTCTCAATCGTGCCCAACTTATAGATGATGCATTTAATTTAGTGATAGCAGGCCATCTCCATTCCTCTATATTCTGGAACATCATATCGTATTTGCATCAAGAAGAAGATTATATAGCATGGTATCCTTTGTTTAAAGCTCTGGAATATATATGTAGTACTTTTTCAGTGGTGAAAGAAGAAATTGCAATTTTTGCGGTAAATATTAACAAAAGTTATGGCAAAAAGACTGTTTTTTCGCCCATTTTATAGAGTCGAATTTTAAGACCTCAAATTTTAATTCTTTTTATATCAAATATGATTTTTAGTCAAAGATGAGAAACTATTACATTCACTTCTCCATATCTCCGGAACCATGTTTAGCCTAACATTGACATTTTATTGAGATTAATGTTTCATCTAGTAGTACTATTTGCGATGAAATAAAGTTCATGGTCCCAAAAATGGGCTACATTTGCCATCACTCTTTCAATGAAACTATTATGTTTTAAATATTTGTATATACACTCATTGATCACAAATAATTAAAAAACTTAGAAAAATATATCTAGCAACGATAATATTTTACATACTATTACGTAGTAAATAAATACGCAAACAAATTCAGTTTGAATAATCACTCACCCGAAGAACTGTCCGAAAAGTATATGATATTCACTACTGCCAATATTATTGGTGTATAACATTTTTATTGGATATATGTATAGCAAGGTGCTTAAAATCTTTGTCAATAAATTGCAATTATGTATATTGGCTTTTATAAATATTACATGTTGGTCTTTAAAAATATAAAACATATATGTAGTTAGAAAAAATTATTATATATTTCTCAAAAAAATATATTTTATACCTTATTTAAAAATAAATATGATTGACAAATAGTTATTAAAACTTTAACATCAATTAAATATTATAAACATTTCGCACAAATTAAATAATATTTTGCGTACATTATAATACATATGTATATATTTGCACGTACATATGTACATGAAGAGATAGCATCTATAAGTGAATTTGTATGTACGAGGGTCATTTGAAAATTTACGGCCTCATCGACATAAAGTAATAATAATGTATAATAATGTTGATAAACAACGCCTTTAGCCACGTGTATAAATTAAGTTTCAGGCTCTTATTACATAGATAGCAGAGAAAAGTATAGAATCAAAAGGATCTGAATAGCTCATTGGAAGAGTCATACGCCCGGCAGCGAAAGGTCTCGGGTTCATTCCGATTCCCGATTTCATAATATTTTTCGATCTTAAGTATCGATCATAGTATGCCTTAAAGTTATTATCGAAATTGCATATATATAAAATATATAAAAAACATTTTAATAGGTGATTTATTAAGAATTTAGATTACAGGGAACAGATGGATGATAGGATTGAATTAAATTTGCTTGTTGGTAGAGCGATTTAGGTTTCATTTATTTCAATTAGGGGGAACAGTGGATGTATGGACTTAATTTCTCTTGTAGAGATTATTCCAATTTTAAATCTTGGCCTGACTAATTAAAATTTAGTGCCTTGTGCACAGGTTTTTAATTCTAACAAAAAAATTAGTTTTGTGTTGGGATAACGCACTGTCATCCGCAATTTGGCTCTATTGCCTGTTGACACTTTATATTTATATATATATTATATATATATATATATATATATAGTTGGAATAATTAATTAAATATTTCAAAAAGATATATATTTTTTACTTTATTAAAATTAAATGTGATTAATAAATAGTTGTGAAACTTTACTATCTTTTTAATATTATAAAATTTCGCACAATTAAACCATATTTTTGCATGCATGTATGTATATTTAATGTATGTAAATGTCTGTCCGTGCATAAATAAACGGTCGCGTCTTTAAGTAATAATCTCTAAAAACTCACCTTTAAAAAAAGGTAAAAAAAGGCGACCAGTTAAGGGCACGCCATTAACAAAAATTATCCATTGCAACCCATGTAGAATCCTATCCTATTGCAAACCCATGTAGAATCCTATGAAAAATTAATCATTGCAACCCATGTAGAATCCTAGGCAAATTAACCATTGCAAACCCATGTAGAATCGTACCCATTGCAAACCTATGTAGAATCCTATGAAAAATTAACCATTGCAAACTCATGTAGAATCCTATGAAAAATTAACCATTGCAAACCCATGTAGAATTGTATTAAAAATTATCCATTGCAAACTTATGTAGAATCCTACATTGCAAACCCATGTACAATAGAATTGTATGAAAAATTATCGATTATAAACCCATGTACAATCGTAACAAAAGTAATGAAATAAAAAAAAATTGAAAGTAGAAACTTGTACCAGTGGAAAATTAAAGTTGCAGACATATATAGAGTCGTATAATGAATCAGTAAAAATTTAAATTTGCAAATGTAGAATCGTACCATAAAAAAACTTATCTTTTAAAAAAAAAGATAAACAAGATGCCAAGTCCATGCGCCATGTGAAAAAGAAATAAAAAAATTTTAGTTAAAAAAACTGGGCGCGCTGCTAAGTTTCAAAATTACAATGCACCTTAAAGTAACATTAATTAATTTAAACACAAAACATATTTTAACTGTAATGAGTTTAAAAGTAACAATTTAATTTTAATATTGTTAGAATATTATTTAGCAGCGCTCCCAGTTTTTTTAACTAAAATTTTTTTATTTCTTTTTCACATGGCGCATGGACTTGGCATCTTGTTTATCTTTTTTTTTAAAAGATAAGTTTTTTTATGGTACGATTCTACATTTGCAAATTTAAATTTTTACTGATTCATTATACGACTCTATATATGTCTGCAACTTTAATTTTCCACTGGTACAAGTTTCTACTTTCAATTTTTTTTTTTTTCATTACTTTTGTTACGATTGTACATGGGTTTATAATCGATAATTTTTCATACAATTCTATTGTACATGGGTTTGCAATGTAGGATTCTACATAAGTTTGCAATGGATAATTTTTAATACAATTCTACATGGGTTTGCAATGGTTAATTTTTCATAGGATTCTACATGAGTTTGCAATGGTTAATTTTTCATAGGATTCTACATAGGTTTGCAATGGGTACGATTCTACATGGGTTTGCAATGGTTAATTTTGCCTAGGATTCTACATGGGTTTGCAATGATTAATTTTTCATAGGATTCTACATGGGTTTGCAATAGGATAGGATTCTACATGGGTTTGCAATGGATAATTTTTGTTAATGGCGTGCCCTTAACTGGTCGCCTTTTTTTACCTTTTTTTAAAGGTGAGTTTTTAGAGATTATATCATTCATTTTTGTATATTTTTATGACCGGAATAGAACAATTATTAAACATGTTTATCTAAACTTCTTTGCTTAAAATGATGTGTACAATCATATCCTAGAATCCTGATCATTCCTCCTAAAGCACCCTATTTATATAAATTTACCCATATGTGTGTGTGTGTGTGTGTGTGTGTGTACTAATGTCGAGCATTTTTTATACATTTTCTATTAAATTTAGATAAAAGTTGCAGGATTTCGAAAAAGAAAAAGTTGACACAGACTTTTTCCTAAACGGCGATTTTCAAGGTTATTTAAAGGTCACTTATATTTTCAAAATAGAATTACCTTAATTTTTCTCATATAAATCGATTCCTCGCAATATTTACTATAAAAAGTTGTAAAGGTATAATTTTTACATAATCTTACATAAACTTCGAAATATTACAAATATTTTATTTTATGAAATATTTCAGTTTATGTAAAATTATGTTAACTATCTTTTAAATTATTCACTTTTAGCCATCTTACCCTTACAACCTTTTATAGTGAATATTGCAACAAATTGGTTTATATATATAATATATATATAACATCAGTTATTATTAATTGATGTTTACATTTATTTTTAGACTTACTAGAGCTCAAATGCTCCACATTTTTTGCAAAAACTGTTTATTCTACAGATTTCAAATATGCTTTTAAATGATGATTGAATATTTCCTTTTTTTAATTATTTTTATTATTATTTTTCAATCTCAATCAACTTTTATAACTTTATGCCAGCACGATACAAATACATGTGTCTTTATTTTTTTTATTATTTTCATTATTATTTTTCAATCTCAATCAACTTCTATAACCTTATGCCAGCAGGATACAAATACATGTATGTCTTTATTATTGTATCAACTCTTGTCTTTTCCATGTAACCATGTCTTCATAGTTTGAATTATCCCTTCATCTTCTCAATCTTTCGCAGAGATTTAATTAATTAAATACACTTCACACGAAATAAAGTTTGCTGGAAGATATACAGCAAACGATAACTGTAAAAACATGATTACGTGGAAAGAACAAGAGTTGGTACAGTAAAGGCAAGTAAGTAAGTACATGTAATGTATCGTATTGGCATAACGCTATATCCGCGGAGCAGATAATGTGGCTGTAGAGGTAGTCTGCAGTGCAGCTAATGTGGACGTAGATGTTGATTGAGATAATTGTCTAATATAAAATAGAATTTAAAAATTTAGTTTAAAAAGCTGTTGCATATATAAATAAAGTTTATTTTTTCTAAATTTGGAATATGTTTAATTAATTAATTTTTTAAGTCTATGTTTAATAAATTTTTTAAGTCTGTATTCAATAATTTTATTCATTTGATAAATACATGTATGTCTTTATTTTGATATGTTTAATATATATTAGAAATTCATTATTAATTAGATATGTAAACTATAAATTCATATATAATATTTGAAAATATATGTGAATATTTAAATTTTTATCTTCTCCTTCCTCTCCTTCAATCTCTTTAATATCAATATGTGTATGTGTGTACACGCGCGCACATTTGTACGTATTTATTTAATTATTGGATAGTTGAGAGTACTTAATTGATAAAAAATTATGACAATAATAATCCTTGTTTTTTTTTCTTATTATTTACTCAGATTTTTTTGTCTATCTTATAAGATAAACACTTTAGAGATTGAATATTTCAAGTAAACTAATTGTAAGTAAATTTCACATTAATGCATATAGATGTTTAATCATGAATGTACTAAATAAGTACACAAGACGAACAGTGAGTGAGTGAGTGAGAATGAGAGAGTGTGTGTGTGTGTGTGAGAAAGAGAGAGAGAGAGAGAGAGAGAGAGAGAGAGAGAGAGAGAGAGAGAGAGAGAGAGAGAGAGAGAGAGAGAGAGAGAGAGTTAGCCAACATAACCCCGCACGCTGCCGATATGGCGGAGCGCCACTATCGCCATCTGTTGTAAAACGTGCGAGATGGACAAAATTACCACTACATGCATCTTGCATGTGTTGTGTACGTGTGATATATGTGTGCGCATGTGTTGTATACGTGTGAATACGTGTAGCACGATACTACTATGTATGCGTGGTCGATGATGATAATGACGGGGACGTTTCTTAATAGAAATTTTTCATATTTCGACTTTGCATTTATATATCTCTGCTTACAAATCACGTAGAGCAGAAATAAAGACACTTTTATTATATAATTCGAACTCAATCTATCGATTAAGTCTAGTATAAACTCGATTGCTTCAGCCATTATTGAGGATTCGAAATATTATAAAGACTCAAATGTCCGACTCGCGTTAAGATACACGGTGTCTCCGCTACGCCCTTAACTGGTCGCGAGACACTACCGTGTCTCTTGATTTGTATGTATGTTTGTCTTATAAAAAGAGAAAATTTATACAAATGTATTGATAAATAATAGAAACATATAATAATTCTTAAATACATTTAAAATATGAACAAAAAAATATATATTTAACGATTTTTAGTCGAGAGTAAGGCACATATTACACAAGCTACTTGAAAGAATCAAATATGAAGAAATTGATGATATAGACAAACTTAGAATAAATAGTTTACGACAAGAAGCTGCAAGATGGGCATGTTTTCTCGGTGACATCACTTGTAAGAAAGAAGCCAACAATACATTAATACAATATATCAAAGATACTGAAACAACAGGTAAATATTGTTATATATTTTTAGCCTTTTTTAATCAAATCTTCTTATAGGTATTGCCTATAATGTTCAAATAATTTGATCAAGAGCCCATATACTAATTTTTAATAGAAAAATATAATTTTTTATATTTTAGACTTTGCCATGGTGGAAGGAGTGGACATATTGTTATGGTTTGATGATAATCAAAGAAGAAACCACTTGGCAATTAGTGTATGATATAGGATTGAATAAATATGACACTAAATTTTTAGAATACTTGGCTTGCCCTAAAAATACTAATCTCATTAAAAAGTATTTAAGATTTAATCAAAACATTTCTACAGAACAGGAATATCCAAATTCTTTTAACAGTTTCTTACATATTATTACAAAGTATACGAAGAATCGAGATATCATGGAGTACATATTAAACGATTTTTTCAACATAAAACCAAAGTAATTTGACATGTTTTTATAAATATTTTGTATAAAAATTTATTATGTGTTTTATATATATTTGTTTTTCCGTTTTTAGACATGTTGGTATATTTGCAGCATTACTTATTATTATTAATAACATATATTGCGAAATTCAAACTGAGGTAAAAATTTTACATGATTATATGTATGTATACAAAATGTGATAATAATGCGATATTAATAAATATTTAATGTTTAAATAATTTTGATAATATAATAATAACGTTGTCTATTATAATGGTAAAAATAAAACATTTTAGTATATAAACGTATACGTTATACATTTGATGACCACTGAAGGCTTATATGTTGGAATGAAAGAAAAGGTAAATTTAACAAATATTATTATGGAAAGCGAAAGAAAAAGAAATATTGTTCTATCTCTCTTTTTAATTTCTGAATATTAATTTTATATTTTTTTGGTTATTATATATACAGTATATTGATTTTATTGTGCAAATTTTTGTTTATATATATTATAGGATTCCATAATACAGAATTATGACAATATTGTAAACAAAACATCAATTCGTAGGAATCAAATCAGAAGACAAAAATTGCAGCTTTGCATACGTGAACATACTTCATGGGAATAATTTTTTATATTGTATATACTATTTATTTTACTGCTTTAATTATTGTTTATTTAGATGTTTTACTATTCGATGCCTCCGTATTTACAAAACTTTATGACTGCATGCATCAAGTTTTCTTTTGCAATCTTGTTTGAAGTAGTTGAAATATATATATTATTACTTGTGTGTGTGTGTGTAGTCACAAGAAATCCTTACAGAAATTTATCACAAGTTACGCCAATTAATCACTTATTTCGAGTACTTAAAATACTGATATACAGTAATTTAAGTACTTAAAATAAGTGATTAAGTATTCGAAATAAATGATAAATTGACGTTACTCGTGATAAATTTTTATAAGGGAAATACCCATATAATATTATAATAAAGTTTACTATTTGATATAATATAACATACACATATTTAATTATTGTTTAATTTTCTATTATTTAATTATTATAAATATTTATAGTCAACTTATTTATATATATATATATATATATATAAACAATTAAATTTTTTATTTTAAATTATATATGTATATATGTGTATGTATATCAAATAGTATTAATATATATACGTGTATTATATTATATTACAATTCATATCATATATTAAATATATAATTAATACATTATAATATTAATAAATGTATGTGTACATAGAATATGTTTGTACAACAATAAGAATTAATAATACGTTAACGTTATATAAAAACTAATTTTAATTATATGTGCTATATACGTTCAATATTAATATGTTATTATATAAAATTTGCGATTGATTTTCATTTTTTAATCTACAATAAATTAAATCACATAAAACAATCACTCTCTCTCTCTCTCTCTCTCTCTCTCTCTCTTTTATCTCTTGCAATCTTAATATTAATATTTATAAAATTATATTACATAACTTTAAAATTGTACAACATAATTCGGCGCTTATTGCTAATATTTTTAAAAAACATAAAAATACTGCAAAATGTGTAAATCGAAATTTTAACTTAATTATATTTAATTTATTTTAACAATTACATTTAAAAAAAATGTAAACATAGATGAAAGGTAAAAAAAGCTGATCATTAAATTGATGTTTTCAATAAATTTGTGTCGAACATGTGCTTCTTCCAATCAACGCGAGGAATTTTAATATTAAAAAATTATCTTATTATTTTATTTGTCTTTCTATTATTTATCGTTTCTTACTATTTTTTAATAATAAATGTCGAATCTAATTTAGCAAAATAAAATGTGTACAACAGTATTGCAACGTAAACAAAAAGTTCGAAAAAAGATAGAAATCCGTTATACTTAAATCCGAAAAGAATTAATATTACTTATAAAAACTTTTTATAGCTCATCAATTAGACTATAAGAAGGGAGCTAATACGTAACACATGCACATTATATTAAATTATACATATGTATGTATAAGTATGTACATAGGTTAATATTCTCTCTATGATAGCTTTTTAAATATTAATTGTATACTGTCATATCGTTATAACAAAGAATTTAAATCGATAATATCGTTTAGAATTGTGTACTAAAAGAAATGCACACATGCGATAAAATTATATTTATGGCATGCTTATTCATAAAGGATAATTTTTTTATATCATGTTACATAAGCCTGATATTTGCCGCACAGCTGAAGTTTCTCAACAAAAATTGTTTCATTATAGAATATACATAAAATTTGAATGAAATAAATCGAAATCTTTTATGATATAAGCTTATTGTATTATTATTAAAAAACTTAAACTAATTTTTTTTTAATATTTATAATATGTACAAATAGAAGAAAAATTAGAAAATGTATGTGTTTGTAAACAATTTATAATTTATGTAAAAAATAAAAATTCTTAAATTATTATAAACATATATTATTTGTAACATGATACAATTACACATATAGAATCGAAAAATAGAAATAATGAAATATAGTAATAAAGCAATTGTTGATATTATAATAAATTTATATTCGCAATTTAAAAAAAAACTTAAATTTCATCAGACATTAAATTTGATTTTAAACCTAGTGAAAAATGATTAGTCGAATCGTCTCGATTCGACATTGATTCGACGAATTTGACATTGATTCGACGAATCAGCATCGATTCGACTATCATTTCTCACTGGAAACATTATTAGAAAAGTAATTAATATTCGTAAAAATCTATATGATCCAATAATTGTAAAAGAAACATTAATTTATGTCTAAATTAATGTTTTTTTACAATTTTTCGATATATACCTGCTTCTCTTAGATATTTAGTTTTCGCGTATTTAAACCATGTCGATATATGATCTTGAAAGTTTTTATTTATATTCTTGTAATCCGTATTTATACTTCCAATAATGTATAATTGCGTTTTGACGAAAATTTATAATTATAATACAGTTTCGCGTCGATTATATTATCACAAGTTCAATAATCATTAAATGTAATAATTACAGCTAATTACGATACTAGATAACAAACAAGTAAATATTGTTACATATTTTTAACCTTTCTTAATCAAATTCTCTTGTAGGTATCACCTATAATGTTCAAATGATTTTATCAAGAAATCCATATGCTAATTTTGAATTAAAAAATTCAAATCTTTTTATTTCAGACTTTTGCCATGGTGGAAGAAATGGACATATTGTAAAGGTTTGATGATAAAGTCTGCATAGAATTGGGAGTCAATGTATGCTATAGGATATAGAGATTTAGATTCTAAATTTTAAAAACTTGGCTTGCACTGAAGATACTGATATAATTAAATTTTATTTAAAAAATATAGCTCTATTTATGAACAAGAAAACTAATATCTTCTTAATCGTTTCTTACATATTATTACATAGCATGCGAAGGATTAAACTGTCCTGAATTACATATTAGAAGATTTTACGATCAATAGACCAAAGTAATGTAACATATTATTGAAAATATTTTGTACAAAAGTTTATTATGTGTATTATATACATCTGTTTTATCGTTTTTAGTCATGTTATTATATCTGCAGCATTCATTGTTATTATTAATAACATATATTCCGTAAATCTAATTCAAATAAAAAACTTTACATGTCTATATATGTATATGAAATGATAATGCAATATTAATAATTATTATATGGTATATTGTTTAAAATAATTGTATAAAGATGCAACGACGTTATTATACGTTAAATAAATAATACAATTTAGCAAAAAAAGGAATACGTAAGATTAATGGTTAATACACACATAATTGCCGAATTGTTTATCACAGAATATTTATTAGTCAGGTATCACATGAAAAAGATAAATTTAATAAATATTATTATGGAAAGTAAAAAGTATATTGCTTTATTAAAAATAAATGTGAGACGACCCAACTGGCTTAAATTAATTCTTATTATTATTAGTTTGATGCCATGTACAAGAAAAGACTGTATTGTTATATTTTATTAATTTCTTATTAATCTATATTGTTTTATCTTATTAATTTCTGAATATTAAATTTCTTGTTTATTATATAAACGGTATATTGATTTCATTGTGCAAAGCTTAACTTATATATTAGGATTTCATAATGCAGAATTTTGACAAAATTAAAAGAAAGATATTAATTCGCAACAATCAAATCAACAGACAGTTACAATATTGTAAAAGTATCCATTATAAGAAGTGGGAATAAAAAAGTGGCAGCTTTGCATGCGTGACAATCTTCATATGAATAATTGCTTTTATTGTATGTACTATTTTTTTACAGCTTTTAATTATTGTTTATATAGATGAGTTACTATTCGATGCCTTTGTATTTATTAAATTATATGTTTGCGTGTCTCAAATTTTTAAAATTTTTGCAAACTTGCTTGAAGTAGTTAATATATTATTACCTATATGAATATTATTATATATATATATATACCTGTATAGTCACAAGAAAATAGCCATATAATATTACAATAAATTTTACTGTTAGATAATAATATAAATGTGTAGATATATAAATAATATAAATAAATAAATATGCTTGTTAAATGATAAGTGCACCTAAATGTATTATCTATTTATTTTGAATTATATATTGCTTTGTTTTTAATATTTTTTACGTTAATTAATAAAATTATATGTTTAAGCGCGCACACACATATGCATGCGCGCACGCACGCTCGCACGCAAACATACACACACACACACACACACACACACACACACACACACACACACACACACACACACATATATATATATGTATATATCGACCTCAGAAGTTTTGTTGTTCTAACGTATCATATTTATCGCACGATGACACGTACAGAGAATCAGTCGGCCTTTCGTGGTCTTTCGAACCATATCGTGGTATACATAGTGATTGTAATAAAGTGTGTATATTACATCCCTTTAACATTGCGCATATTGCTTAAACATTAGTTTGATGCAATTAATTTAAAGAAAAAAATATAATTATTCAACGTAATTTTCCAATTAACATTTTGCTCCAAAATATTGGGTAAGTACAGTTTAATCCAGAGATAATTTCAAATAAAGACAATATTATAAAGTTATATGAATTTTAATGTTGAAATAATCGCAGACCCACAAAAGTTTGATATTAAATAAATTATTTCTAAAATTTAAAAATTCTTTAATACGTTAATCGATTTTGAAATTGTGCTAACATTGAGTAAAAAATAACTGTAACAAGACAGAAGAATTAAACATTAACTCTGATATCAAAAATGATGTATATAATTAAGAAAAATAAAAAAAATTGGACAATTGCTTTCAATTTGTATTGGACATATTACCTTATATGAGAAATGTATTATAAAAAATGCAAACATATTAATTTTATTAAGTGAGAAATAAATATAAATACAACACTTAAAAATAAATAGAATTATATTAATCATCTAAGTTAGAAATAAACAGAATACTAAATATTTTACGTACAATTTTTTATATAAAATATTCGATATAAAACGTAAAAAAAAGTATGATAAGACGTTGAATCGTGTTAATTTAAAATTACAATAATTATTTATTAATTGAAAATTATAGAGTAAAATGATAGAACGTACTAATTGTCAATCGAATGTAGAAATCCATAATATTCTAGATTTGAAGTAGTCGTTAACGTATCTATTTTTTTTGTGTTTAATCTGAAATATCTGAAAAATACCTTATTATATACACAATGTTCCAGAAATAGTAGTAAACCTGTTAATAGTACATTTTTGATATCATTTGAAGTCAATTTTTACTCCGCGCAATGCTGAGGGTGACTATCATTATTTGCATGTTCTCAAATTTATCAATATGTATCTTTGTATAATTAATCCTTAAATTACAATTCTAATAAAAGTAAACTCCATTTGAAATTTATTGATAAATGTGATTTCGTTAATATTTTATTTTAAAAAAGCTTGGTTAGCGAAAATCCATTTATTTTTTATCGCTTATAACTCAAAATTTATTAGTACTTCGACATTTTCGCTTAAGCATCGTCTCCAAATGATCTCAGGTATCTGCTTTTTAAAAGTTTACTGCTAGATCTGGGACATTTTGTATATATATATATATATATATACATATATATATATAATATTTATTATCAGGTTTATAATTAATACAATATGAAATTGAATGTTGGCTTAATTTTTGGTAAATGTTCATTTAATGGTTATAATACACAGTTTAAGAGAAGAAGTCAAACAGACTTTCAAAGGAACATAATAATATAAACATGTGCTCTACCTCTCTTTTTTTCTCTGTCCCTCTCTCGCCGCTCCTCAGATTCTCTTCCCTACTGTCTTTTTCTTATTTTGAATGTACACACAGATTTATATGTATGTACAAATAACAGCTTTTGTGTTTATAAAGTAATTTATTTTAGACAACTAACTTTATATATTAAGTATTTATATTCTAAATAATATTCTAAAAATTTTCAATGTACATAATTTTTTGACAATGAGATTAATTATTTAAAGAAAATATAAAATATGCTGTAAATTTATTAATATTTTTATATTGCTGTTAATTACAATATGTGTAAAACTGAAATACATATGTATATATACATGTATATATACATATATATATATGTATACACTAGACAAAAAGATTATCGCAACACGCGATTAACAGAAAAATTTTGCGTATTAATTCAAATAAGCGTATTTCCGCGAAAAATGGTCGTATTAAAAAAAATTTTATTTTGTTTTAAAGAGTGACGTCTCTAGCTTAAGAAACTTTCGTTCGATTTTGATTTTATCCCCTCCTACATTTTTTACTCCATTAAAAAGTAAGGTGTTTTTTTTTCAAAAAATTACATATTTTGACGAAATTTACGGGATAAAAAAAACTTTTTCGCAAATCTTATCCAAAGTTTCGTAAAATATGGACTTTTTCCTACAAATTAAAAAAAAGCAAAGTTTGTACGATTTTTTTCGCACAGTTATTAGATATAAAAGTTACCCTTACATTTTTTTATTTACCACCAGCATTAACGATGTCCGACGCGCACGAAGAGTGCACGACAAATTGCAAATAAAGATCTCCCTTACAGAATCAGTGATCATACAATTAAAAGACGTTTATCTGAACGTGGTTTAAGACAGCGAGTTCTATAATGGATCGTACATTTTTCCATACATCAAAAAAGGAAAAAATCGTACGAACTTTGATTTTTCTTTAATTTGCAGAAAAGTCCATATTTTACGAAAATTTGAAATAAAATTTGCGAGAAAAATTTATATTACCTTTTAAAGTTCGTCAAATTTTATCATTAAAAAAACACCTTTCTTTTAAAGGGGTGGAATGAGGAAGAGAGGATAAAATCAAAATCAAACAAAAGTTTTTTAAAGTATTATAGAAATTTGACCTTTTAAAACAATAAAAAATTTTTTCAAATACAATAATTTTTCGCAGAGGTACCATATAATATTTCGATAATTAAGATAATTTCCCAATTAATAATTTTAATACTTTTTGTTTTTATCATTTTTTATATACAAAATACATTTTAGAAACATCTAACCTATTTTATTTTCTTTAATTATTTTTTATCCAGAGTACTTTACGGATCTAAAATAGATGTCGCTTTCTTCCAACATGATGATATTTCTAAAACTATTATTAAGTAGCAGATTAATTTTTATCGCTGCGACAGCTTCCACTCGCAATGAATCTGTATGTTATCAAAAATCAAATAATGTAATACCAATGCATTACAATATCAAGCTTATAACATATCTTGAAGAAAATATGTTCCGTGGGGAATACAATATCAGCATAAACATTCTTAACAAAACGCAAAGCATATATTTACATTCAGAAAAAGTATGTATTGAAGATATAGTTCTAATTACAAATTTTGAAAGATATCATGAGAATGATAAAGATATCGTTTATAAATCGACATATAATACTAAAGAAGACACAATTTATATGTACTTTATGGATGAGTTATCACCAGGAAATTACATCTTAAATATAAAATATTTTAGTATTGCTGATGAAGTCTTTAGAATTTTTGACGTGAAAGAAAAAACTGCGTAAGTAAATAATAAATTCAGAAAGAAATATTTTTATCGGCTCTCAATATTAAAAATATAAATATGATGTTTTTTAAATCGGCCAACAGAGCACGAAAAATTAATTATTCGGAACTGTATCTCTTGGTTTGAGATCACTAAGTTCCATATATAAATTAATCTCGAAACTTACATAGGATCGAAAGGGTCTAAATAGCTTAGTTGGTAAGAGCAGTCGTCCGGAAAGTGAAAGACGCGGGTTCGATTCCCGCTTCAGCGACTTTTCGGACCTATATTTTTCGCGCCTATTTCTCCATATGTAAGTTTCGAGATTAATTTATATATGGAACTTAGTGATCTCAAACCAAGAGATACAGTTCCGAATAATTAATTTTTCGTGCTCTGTTGGCCGATTTAAAAAACATCATATTTATATTATAGTGTCACGTACCGACAAATTTTCATCGCTCTCGGTTAGATTTATCTTAACTCAAACTAACATCCGATACGCGGGATCGCTAGAATTTGCTTATCGTCACGTATTGACAAATTTTCATCGCTCTCAGCTGGACCTATCCTAAACTAACATCCGATATGCAGGATCGCCAGAGTTGTTTATAAACCTTATAAACAAACCTTATAAACAAACCGAGATAAGGGGCCTCCCTCCTTCAAAATTCATAGATGGTGGTAAAATTTCGAGTATAAATAGGGCTAGAAAAACGCTGTGCATCGCAGTTGAAATCTTAACGAAACCTTTGTCGTAACTATAGTTCTCCGCGAACTTCGACTGTCATCCTTCGTTTCCTTATTCTTACGACTAATCCAGTACTTTAGACTTATAATTTTGTAACCACTCATAGAATAAAAGGTAATTGATAATACCACAATAAGCTCAGTTATTTGGCATCTGATCCGAGTAAAATTTACATATAACGTAGGACACCTCCGAGAGCGGGGAACGGCCTTTTCGCTGACAAAGAGTGTAGCGAATTGGTAACCGGCGCTGCCGAAGAGTGTAGCGCCTACGAACACTGCTCTTGGTGTATGAAATTATTTACCATAACTCTCAAATCGAGCTAACCCCTTTCGCTGCCGAAGAGCGTAGCGAATCGGACTGGTCGCTGCCTTGCGTAGCGACCTTAAGTTCATTTTGGGAGCTTCCGTCGTATTTTAACATTCTCATGAAGAAAAGGGCAGGTAAACGAGTACAGCTCAAACGGCTCAGATACCAGATAAAACAAGCGATTGATTTGCGACAAGATTTCTTTCACCTCTCGCAAAAACTCCAACATTTAGAAGCAAACACCCAAATTGACAAACCTCCTACTATTCCTTACCAACTAACTCCTATTAACGTCGAGCCTGACTATCCCGACTATCGCCGCATTAACAAAACTGATCCGCGTTATAAAGTTTATAAACTAAGATTCCTGTTCGGGACTGAAAACTAAATACACACAACCCGTCCAACTCCCGGGTAAAGTATTTAAATATATTGACCCAAAAACGGACGAACGAAAACGTAACATATAGATAATAAATGTTTATTAATAAAAAAAGAGTACAATATGCAATTACATAAAACATTGGAATTAATATATTATTTATGTATTTAATGTCCAAAAATTATTATATATCGCGGAATTTAAATCTAAAAGGGAATAACAATCTTTATATTTATTATTATAATAATATGTTATAAAGTTATAAAATATCATATGTGTTGACGCGTATAGCATTTATACATTTTCTAATTTCCAATATTTTTATGCTTGTCAAAAATGTTTCATTAATTTATGTTTTTTAAAATGTAGTTGGGTAGGTGCTCTGCATTTCCAGATAATAGGCGCCCTACCATTTTTTTCAAACGGTACCTGTTTGCATCTACATGATTTATGGATAGAAGCAATCTTTAACATTTCTATAAAATGTGATTTATGCACGACATTGTCAAATATGCCATTGCGAAGTACGAATATAGATGACAACGATATGGTATGGAGACACTACGGTACCACATCTGCAATGTGGACTGAATACGTAACAATGATTGTGTCTAATTACCTATTTCTTATTGACATCAAAACTCGCAACATTAAAATGTGGTGCAGACTTGAAAGACTTCACATGGAATTTGCAAAAGATGTAGCTGAAAATAGCACGTTTTTTTTTAAAATCAGTGGAGACATTCAAACAATATTTCGATGGTGACTCATGTTGCAATTCCAAATTTTCATGACAAAGGCACAACTGTTTTGACACTTGTTTTATATAGGTGAGTATAAATGCTTAACATTAAACATTAAAATAAATTATGTTAGTACGTTTAATTATAAAATTAAAAAATGGAATTTTAACGTATAGACGGGCACAAGAGCCAAATCGCGGATGACAATGCGTTATCCTAACGAAACTAAATAATTCTTCGTTAGAATTAAATACCGGTGCACAAGGCACCAAATTTTACTTGGACACGGCCAAGATTTTAAATATGAAATAATCTCATATTTTGAGATTTAATTTCAATACCCCTTTAACCCCCCTACGGAAAATAAATAAATGAATGCAAGAGAAAACTCTTGTTAAAACTCTTATATTAAAAAATGGATATTTATTTCGTTTTTGTAAACGCTCAAAATTATAAGAATTTGCGAAAACAAACAATTTTAGTTGAATTAAGTTTATTTATATTATTTAAAACTTAAAGTTTACCATTTCAGTACGTATATAAAGGGGAAAGTATGTATGCTAAATCGTACTCCGTAAGATAGATGTTAAAACTGCACTGAAGTTAGAAAGGAAATGCCATTTTTTATTTATTTCAAGCTATTATTCTTTGTCAATGATACATCTTAACAAAAGTGTAACGTTGTTTCTGATTGTTGTAAATTAAAAAATAAAAAAAATATTATTTGGTACGATTTACAATACTGATTTTCTAAATTGTATACCCTAATTGAATGTGTAAATCGTACATCTAACAATAAAATTATAATATTGTAACAAAAATAAAGTTTTATTTTCTATAAAGTTCTCATTGTCAGTCTTAACAATTAAATATAACTTTCAGGGAAACAGATATCATCTACGATAAAAATTTATATCCTGTTGCTCGCAAATTCGAAGTAGCTCAATTAGTAGGACGTAAAGTGACACAACAATGGTTTAATAACATGATGAACAATCCGTTAGTGTCAAATACTTGGTTTAAAGAAGGACTATTTCATTATTTGCAACGTATGCTGTCAATAAGGTTATTCTAAATATTTTCAACGCTATCTCGCTCCCTTTTACATATTTTACAATATACTTATGCATTTATATTGCAAAATTGTTTTAACCTTGTTTATAAAATTTGTACACATTCTTAGTAAATTGTTTTATAATATTTAACATTATATAAAATAAGCAAGAGTCTCTTAAAAAATACATTTGTTACATATTTACATACATATACTTATAATTTAATTTATTAAACATTAAATACAAATAAAAATAAAAATTTTTATTTTTAAACATCACTTTATCAGATATTTTTTAAATGTTTAAAAATCTAAAATAAAATAATTTATCAAAATTAGTACATATGATATTTATTTAAATAAACTTGTAAAGAGATGTCTGCGACATAATATTTTTTTTTAAATAGTAATATTTGCTAATTATATAAATACAAAATTCATGTTAAATACAAAATTTTAGATTTTATTATTATATTTTTTTTATGTGTATTTTCTAAGATGAAAAAGTGGTCATTTTAACAATAAAAAACGTTAATAATATTAATATTAGTATTTAATACAAGTATCTAAGAACGGATATATTGATATTATTATATTATTTTCTTTATAGACTTATTCAGATAATCAAATAATAAATTTATTTGTCGTTCAAAGTCAACATTACTCTTTTAATTTGGATAGTGATTATCATATGTGGTCATCTACTTCACAAGTTAACAGATTATTGGAAATTCGCAATTCAATCAGAGGTAATATAATAAAATAATCCGCCTAAATTTTTAATTATTAATATTTTACAATATGTGTAAGTTAGAAGGTAATTAAATTTATATCTGGATTTTTATTAATTTTATTTTTTATAAAAGTACACGCACACACGCGCGCGCACGCACACGTCCACGCACACCACAACACACATATGTACGTTATCCGTACTTATGCATATTTTAGTTAATATTCAAAGTATTTACACCTATAAACAATGTATATAATTTGTAACTAGCAGCTACATATTCTTTTTCAAAGCAATGTTGATTTTTTTATCAAAAATATATAA